GAACACAGCCGGTCTAAAGCGGCTACGAGGCCCGGAGTTTTAGTGCTCAGATAGTGACCAATCATAGAAATGTCCTTTCCGTTGGATCTTGCGCACAATATTGCCAGCAGGGAGGACTTCCCGCCTAGTCCAGATTTTCTTGTTCTAATGAAAGAAATGCTCAGCCTTTTGTAGAATAGTGACAACTAAAAAGCTTGACTAACCAACCACAGATGATATGGAAACACTCAAGGGTTCATTGTGTTGACAATCCTGCCACGCTGGGGCTAGACATCAGATAACGTGATAGCGGACTGCATTCTTTTACGTATAGGTGAGCTCATAATAAGGCTTACCTGTAAGTAAAATTAATATATCCTAAACATGCACCCTTTAGGAAATGTTCCAGAGAATAGCAGCCGGAGACATCACCGGCGTATGAGCTCTGAAGGAACAACATTCACCCATGCCATTCCTTCAGAGCTTTGTGACGTCATCGCGCAGACTGTGCGCCGCTGTAGGACTTTGTTTTAAGTAAAGTATTTCATAATGTGTTAGTATGTGATGCATACTAGCACATTATATCACCTTGCAGAGGGAATTTTTTTTTTCCTCTTCCCAAGAGGCTTTACTACCACTTTAAAGGGTCAATTCACACGGACTTGCACTAAAATGTATAGAAAATAGATGTACATCTCCATCCATTTTCGTCACACACAGACATCCAATGACATACATTTTAGCATGTGGTAAAGTGTACTGCATTTTCACAGGACATCCTGTGCATTGTGTTGACATTCACTTGCATCCATTGCACTAAAATGCTGCATTTTAGCGCAATGCAGGTCAATGCACCATTATGGTGTGAATAGGACACGTTGGAAATTTGTTTTTCAGATGTCCTTCCATTGATCTGCATTTTACAGCTGCGCTAAAACACAGATAAAACGCACTGGTGTGAATTGGCCCTAAAAGCCAACTATGACCATCCATAGAGGAACAAATGGAACATGGTAGCAAGTGCCAGCAGCCTAGAAATCTCAAAGGCTTCAACACCAAGACCCATTCAGCTGAAACTGCACTGATAATATATACTAGGTCCAGGTCCAGGCAACCACCATAGTCCAGGCCAACCACCATCGTCCAGGTCCAGGCCAACCACCATCGTCCAGTCCAGGCCAACCACCATCGTCCAGGTCCAGGCCAACCACCATCGTCCAGGTCCAGGCCAACCACCATCGTCCAGGTCCAGGCCAACCACCATCGTCCAGGTCCAGTCATCGTCCAGGTCCAGGCCAACCACCATCGTCCAGGCCAACCACCATCGTCCAGGTCCAGCCCCACTGCTTGCAAAGAATTCCAATAGTGGTTATATCTATTCCTTCTAGTGTTGGTGGGGACTTGTATTGGATTTCTGGGTAGGTTTTATGTTTACAAATGTTGACTTCACTTAGAATTGCTGTCCATCTACCTCTGGCTCAGCAAAAAAAAAAAAAAAGGGAATCAGAACAGATCTAAATTCGAAGGCCCCCTTTTTATTTTACATCTGTTGAAAATCCAGAAAGTGCAGAGATAGGGAACTAGGAGGGATTGTAAAATAGACTGTGTGGGTGGACAATCACGTTTTCAAAGCCAGATAGATTCTGAAAGTCAGTCAATATGTGATTGGCCTGAAATCGACCGGGTTACTATTATCTGCTGTAAACTGTGGTTCCCATCCCCTAAACCACGGGTGTCCAACTGGTGGCCCTCCAGCTGTTGCCAAACTACAAGTCCCATGAGGCATTTCAAGATTGACCATTACAAGCATGACTCCGAAAGGCAGAGGCATGATGGGACTTGTAGTTTCACAACAGCTGTAGGGCCGCCACTTTGACACCCCTGCCCTAAACTCTACCGAGAGCCTTTTTCAGGCCTGCTAGGTATGTGGAACCAATAGCTGATGCATCTTGGTGCTGAAGTCTGGAGTCAAGTACTGAGCATTAATCGATATTAAAGTTTATCTCCAGCCAATATTTTTATTTCAGTCTTAGGATAATCTTTCTCCAGTGGGGTCATAGAATGTGTAAAATCACTTTTTATCCCATTTCCTGACCTAAATCAGCAGTATGTAGGAGAAAAATTGAACCCGTTAGGCTTCATTGCTGTCTAGATTGTAAGCTCCCAGGATCAGGGCCCTCCTATTCCTCTTGTATTGAACTGTATTGTCTCCCGTTATATTGTAAAGTGCTGAGCAAACTGTTGGTGCTATATAAATCCTGTATAATAATAATGTAGGGGAAGTCTTGAACCCGTTAGGTTTCATTGCTGTCTATGTCCCTGTAGTAGATTTCCCTTACTTCCTGTCTAGGTGACAACACGGTCTTTGGGACAAGTAGTGAGTAGAAAGCTTGACAGATAGCAAAAATACATGACATGTTCTTTCACTCATTTCCAATAATAATAATAATTAAAAAAAAAAAAAAAAAAAAAGCTATGGCTGAAGTTAAACTTTAAACTCACCAGATTCTACCAAACAACTAACGTTTCAGTTAATTTGATGTAAAGAAGGGATATACGGGACTGCCGTTGCAGATGGTCTCCTGATAATGCTAGCTGCCTGGCTATCCTCCTTCCGTACTTTGAGTTCCTGACCTGAAACAAGTCCAAGTCCTTATCTGCATACCTGTCAGTGACTCCAAGCATTGAAGCCGGGGCTACAGATGACAGCCAGGTAACTGACATTTTCACTGAACGCAAAAGAAAAACAAAAAGAGGGCGCACCAGCCTAGTGCATTATCTCTTTGACGCGTTTCGAGGACTCAGCCTCTTCCTCAGAGCCCTGAGGAAGAGGCTGAGTCCTTGAAACACGTCAGCCAGTTGCTCATCCAGGGTTCCATCGTTGTGGACTCAGATGCTATATGGATTGAACACCTTTGTTCATTGTGATGTGCCTGTGTTTTAGATGTCCATTGTGCGTATACCACCTACTTTTTTTATGCTTTTAATAAATATTTTAAACGATAATGCCCTCTTTTTGTTTTTCTGTTGCATTCAGTGACTTTGGACTACTCCGGTCCATTAAGGGGCAGCAAGCACTGCATATTCCAGAACATTGACATTGCCATCCTAGCCTCTGCTGAGTCCATCCCCAGCACAGGAGTAAAGTATTTGCTGTGTTTGAACTGACATTTTCAACAATATTGGTGAACACTGGGAGGCTTTAGGGAGATTTAACTAAAACAGGCAAGTACACAATCTGGTGCAGCCAGGGCGGACTGACCATTTGGAAACTTGGGCACTGCCCAAGGGCCCGGGGTCAGTAGGGGGCCCCATGATATGCCCTGGTACTTTTTTTCATAGGCTTTTTTGAGTTTGGGCAAGGACATAGGGGCCCCATGATCCCCTATTGCCCATGAATTGTCAGTCCACCCCTGGGTGCAGCTACACATGGCAGCCAATCAGCTTCTAACTTCAGCTGGTTCAATCAAGCTTTGGCAATAAAACCTGGAAGCTGATTGGTGGCAGACCTGCACCAGATTTTGTACTTTCCAGTTTTTAGCGAATAAACCCCTTTTGTTTTTCTTTTGGGACAGGGTCTCTCCTTTAGTTCATTGGGTTGGTGTGAATGGACCATTTTGTGAGCATTTGGCCTACTGACGAGACATTTATATAACCAAACAGTAAATTGAAGGAAACTGTAAAAAAAAAGGCATAGAGGTCTCTAAAATTAAAAGGCAGAAGGTATTAAATAATTAAAAAAAAAAAAAAAAAAACAGTGCATTTCAGTTTAAAAACCCAATGTGCTGTTACAGCAAGAAACATGACCATGTATATATTATATACACTATATACACATTGCAAGTATCTTCATCCAACTAAATATTCATATATACAGAATATTTGTATTCAATCTCAGGCCAAGCTTTTTCGAATGACGTTTTGGCGTAGAGTTGCTCTGTCGGGCAATACTCCCAGAAGCCTTCGGTAAAGGCTGGACGCCGTCAGCCAATGAAATGCCTCGCCTTTCTCTATATCCATTATATTACACTTTGGTCAGCTGTCTTATGCCCCAAAATCTGCTACAGCTGACCCAACAAAGGTCGTTTGTTTCAAGAACCACCACGCGGATGTCGTAGCGATTTTGCTTTTATTTATAAAAAAAATGCCCTAATTTTTTTTTTTTTAAATTTCACTGCCCAAAAAATAAATTACAAACTTTGGTCTAAATATTCCGAAACAGATTAGACCATGGTCCTTTTTTTTTTTTTTTTAAAATTGTGATTTTGTTCGAGCACTGTAAATAAAATAATTGATCGATCTACCTTCACATCTAGATATTGCTACAGTAGGGCCGTTTAAACCCAAGCTACATTTAGAGTGCGGACACTGCAAGACTTAAGGGGTCTGGTCTGGGTAGATGCTTGACAAATCACTCCTCTACAGTGGAGACCTCTCCATGGTCCCAGCATCGGCCACCTCTCGCATCTTGCGTCATAACGGTCAACTCCCCCGTAGTAGGAAGGACAAGACTCCATAGCAAGGAGAGCGGGCAGATCGCAGTTCTGGAGTGATTCAGTCCACAAGTATCCACCCGTAACTGAAATATCAGTCATGGCCAGACTGATCCATTTAACGTGAGATATAAAAAGGGCAACATAGCCATCTTGTGCAATACGAGGAATGATTAAGAGCTTGGTTCAGAAAATGGACACACACATGTCCAGTTATAAGGCCAAACAATTTACGACAGTGACATTGTTTGTGCAATTGGCTCCTACTGCAAGAAACCGGTATTACTAGGTCTACATACAGTACTCAGTGTGTTCAGTACCTACCTTAAGGTACACAAATTACGTTAAGTGCTATTCTAGGAGCAGTCGGGCAGTGAAGTTTTCAATGAAATATATAAATTCGATATACTATGTACACAAACGAGGGGTATACACAAGGTATTCGGCATGAACCAGAGTTGTCCTTCGGTGGATGTTGGGTTTTGAGTTATGACTTGGAATTCAGGAGCAGAACCATAGGCTGACCCTTTAGTTCGATGCGCTGGCAGGTTTGTCCTCAAGGCCCAACTCTTGGTGGAGCTGGCACTTGCTTTGGGATTGGCGCGAGTGGGTGCGGGATGGTCTGGAGAAGCAGGATGTTACGGGGTGCGAGCTACAATTACAGGCAAAATCCTGAAAAGGATAAAAAAAAAAAAAAAAAAAAAAAAAAAAGAGTAAGCAAAAAAGGACCTGCGACCAGCAGACAATATTCATTATATATATATATATATATATATATATATATATATATATATATATATATACACACACACACATACATACACATATACATACACACACACACACACACACACACACATACACACATATACATACACACACACACACACACACACACACATATATATACACACATACATACACAGTGGGGATCGAAAGTTTGGGCACCCCAGCTAAAAATTTGTATTAATGTGCATAAAGAAGCCAAGGAAAGATGGAAAAATCTCCAAAAGGCATCAAATTACAGATTAGACATTCTTATAATATGTCAACAAAAGTTTGATTTTATTTCCATCATTTACACTTTCAAAATAACAGAAAACAAAAAAATGGCGTCTGCAAAAGTTTGGGCACCCTGCAGAATTTATAGCATGCACTGCCCCCTTTGCAAAGCTGAGACCTGCCAGTGTCATGGATTGTTCTCAATCATCGTCTGGGAAGACCAGATGATGTCAATCTCAAAGGTTTTAAATGCCCAGACTCATCTGACCTTGCCCCAACAATCAGCACCATGGGTTCTTCTAAGCAGTTGTCTAGAAAACTGAAACTGAAAATAGTTGACGCTCACAAAGCTGGAGAAGGCTATAAGAAGATAGCAAAGCGTTTTCAGATGTCAATATCCTCTGTTCGGAATGTAATTAAGAAATGGCAGTCATCAGGAACAGTGGAAGTTAAAGCAAGATCTGGAAGACCAAGAAAAATATCAGACAGAACAGCTCGCAGGATTGTGAGAAAAACAATTCAAAACCCACGTTTGACTGCACGATCCCTCCAGAAAGATCTGGCAGACACTGGAGTTGTGGTACACTATTCCACTATAAAGAGATACTTGTACAAATATGGTCTTCATGGAAGAGTCATCAGAAGAAAACCTCTTCTACGTCCTCACCACAAAAATCATCGTTTGAACTTTGCAAATGAACATATAGACAAGCCTGATGCATTTTGGAAACAAGTTCTGTGGACCGATGAGGTTAAAATTGAACTTTTTGGCCGGAATGAGCAAAGGTACGTTTGGAGAAGAAGGGGCACAGAATTTAATGAAAAGAACCTCTGTCCAACTGTTAAGCATGGGGTTGGATCAATCATGCTTTGGGGTTGTGTTGCAGCCAGTGGCACAGGGAACATCTCATGAGTAGAAGGAAAAATGGATTCAATAAAATTTCAGCAAATTTTGGATGGTAACTTGATGCCATCTGTGGAAAAGCTGAAGTTAAAGAGAGGATGGCTTCTACAAATGGATAATGATCCTAAACACACCTCGAAATCCACGGGGGATTACATCATCAAGAGGCGTAAACTGAAGGTTTTGCCATGGCCTTCACAATCTCCTGACCTCAACATAATTGAAAATCTATGGATAGACCTTAAAAGAGCCGTGCGTGACAGACAGCCCAGAAATCTCAAAGAACTGGAAGACTTTTGTAAGGAAGAATGGGCAAAGATACCTCAAACAAGAATTGAAAGACTCTTGGCTGGCTACAAAAAGCGTTTACAAGCTGTGATACTTGCCAAAGGGGGCAGTACAAGATATTAACTCTGCAGGGTGCCCAAACTTTTGCAGACGCCATTTTTTTGTTTTCTGTTATTTTGAAAGTGTAAATGATGGAAATAAAATCTAACTTTTGTTGACATATTATAAGAATGTCTAATCTGTAATTTGATGCCTTTTGGAGATATTTCCATCTTTCCTTGGCTTCTTTATGCACATTAATACAAATTTTTGCAGGGGTGCCCAAACTTTTGATCCCCACTGTACATATACACACACACATATATATATATACATACACACACACACACACACACACACACATATACACATACACACACTCACATTCCTAGATTGTAAGCTCCCAGAATCAGGGCCCTCCTATCCCTCTTGTATTGAACTGTATTGTTGCTGTATTGTCTCCCGGTATATTGTAAATCGCTGAGCAAACTGTTGGCGCTATGTAAATCCTGTATAAAAATAATATATATTTTAAAAAAAACATTTCCAGTACATATACACCGCCATTTGTAGACGCTATAAATTTCACATAAACCATTTACATGTATTGGGATTTTTTTAAAAACAAAGATATGTTGCCGAACACATTTTTTGTTGTCACATATAATTTTAAGTCACATATTATTTATGTCACTTAATATTTGTCTAAATAAGTTTGCACATAGAGACCCCTAAAAGGAATTTGTGTGGCACATATATCTAATGCGCCGCTAATTATCACTAATATTAGGAGTGGTATTTTTTGGAATAAGTTTTACATAGTAATTTAAAGTGGCAGCTGATTTGGATAGAATATTGAATATTTAAAAAGCACCAATTGGCGCGGTTTAGTGATAAATCAAAAATGGCCAAAATGTGTTCTGCTATTTTATAGAGTGATTCTTAAAGTGGATTAAACATTTTTTTTAATGGATATGTTTTATAGCAAAAAGTATAAAAAATTTTTTTTTTCAAAATGGTCGGGGTTTTCTTTTTGTTTATAGCAAAAAAAATAAAAACCGCAAAAGGTGATCACATGCCACCGAAAGAAAGCTCTAATTGTGGGAAATCAAGGAAATATATTTCATTTATGTGCAGCGCTGTATGACCGCGCGACTGTCAAGTTAAAGTAAAGCAGCGCCGTATTGCAAAAAATGGCCTGGTCAGGAAGGGGGGGGGGGTAAATGATCTGGAGGGCAAGGGGTTAATTATTTTACCACAGAGGCGGTTAATTTTTTTTTTACCATGTGACCAATAGCTGAGGACTAAAAGCTCCTCCTGCTTATGTTTCCCCACAGATAGGCTGGGAAAGAGCTGGGTTATGTGACAGCTGTATATGGATTAGGAAAAAGGTACTTACAACTTTCTTTCCTTTAATTAACCACTTCCTGTCCGGACACTTTCCCCCCCCTTCCTGTCCAGGGCAATTTTTAGCTTTCAGCGCTATCATACTTTGAATGACAATTGCACAGTCATGCAATACTGTACCCATATGAATTTTTTACCATTTTTTTGAGACAGATAAAGCTTTATTTTGGTGGTATTTATTCACCGCTGGGATTTAATTTTTTTTTACTATGTAAATGAAAAAGTCCAAAAATTTTGAAAAAAAGTGTTTTTTTAAATAAAATTTTGCAAATAAATAATATTTCATCATAAATCTTGGCCAAAATTTATTCCGTTATTTTTTTAGTTAAAAAAAAAAAAATCCAAATTAGTTTATAACCAAAAATTATAATTTTTAAACATTTTATTTACATTTTTATTTTTATTTTTTTTATATTTTTTATTTAAATTTTTTTTTTACATACTGTCACCCTAGCAGTACAGTGTCACCATGGTGACACTGTACAACTTGTGGAGGGTGATGATTTTTTTTTTACACTGATTGCTTTTACACCCATATAGGATGTAAAAGCAATAATTTCCCTTTCTCTCTGTCTGCATTCTTGCAGTCATTGAGAATTACTAAGTGAGCTGTGAGTGGTCACAGCTTGTCACATGGTACAAGTGTTGTGAATAGCCTTGTACCATGTGACCTCTGTGATCATTCACAGATTTCACACATAGTAAGCAATGATGTCACAAGTGACATCTTGCTTACTACTTTGCATGTGATCACTGATTCGCCAATCAGTGATCACATGATCGGGACCTCGTCCGACGATCGGTGTTTCACTGTGTCCGGAGGACACAGCGGGCACCGGATCGCGGTGGTGCGCGCTCCCAGGGAGCGCGCACAGCTAGAAAAGGCGGGTGCCGTTTATGAACGGCAACCCGCCCCTGGACTGCCACCGCCCTGCCGTTTATAAACAGCAGGCGGACGGCAAGTGGTTAAAATAATTAGAGCCATCATCCACATACAGAAAGAGAAAAGATAATGTAAATTAAAGCGTGTGTTTTTTTAATATCACTGTAAAGGAAGGGTTAGAATCTCTCACCATTTTATTGTTTTGTTCCCCTACGTAGATTATTTTTTCCTTACTTCCTATCAAGGTGGCAGATGTCAGACATAACAATAAAAGATAAATCCCCTCTATGGGAGCAACACCTGACGGAAGTTTCACTCACACTAAAAAAAACAAAAAAGTCTAAGGCCCCATGTCCACGGGACACTTCTGAACGATGGAAACTGACTGCTGGAAAACGTAGGTTAAAAAAACGTCTGTTTAGCCGCATTTGCATAACCCGTTTATGTGCTTTTGCGTTTAGAAGCGTTTTTTAAAGATAAGCACAGAACCTCCCAAATGCCCAGAATGCACTGAAAAGTGGTAAATGATTAACTATTTCAGACTGTTTCAGAGAAATACAGAGAGTAGAAGCAGAGACAGCAGTATGTGTTGAGATTAGCTTAGGTGTGAGTTGCTCATTAACATTTCTTTTGTGGGAAAGGTGTCTGGTGGAGGGAGTCATTAAGGTCACCTGGCAGGGGGTCTTCATGACCATTCACACCTCAAATTCCTCATGAAGACCCCCTGCCAGGTGACCTTAATGACTCCCTCCACCAGACACCTTTCCCACCCTTGGAAACAAAAGAAATGTTAATGACCATTCACACCTCAAATTCCTCATGAACATATCTTTTGTTTCCAAGGGTGGGAGAGGTCTAAGGTGTGAATTGGTCATTACAATGTGTGACAAGCTTGGAGGAACATCCTGTGTTCAGTGTTTTGTCCATCTGAGTACCTTGAAAACGCTTTGCATGCTTTTTTTTTTTTTATAATGAAAAAAGGCTCTGGACAGCATCGGGAATTGGAAGAGTAAAAAAAAAAATTTCAAATGCGTATAAAACGCGATCTGCCGCGTTTACAAGCATTTTGTGTTTGAATCGCTGATAAAATCGACTGCTGAACGAAAGTTTTCTGCGTTAAAAAAAAAAAAAAAAACGACTGTAAACTCAACTGCCTGTAAAGGACGAGGTGTACATGGACACATAGGAGAACATTAGGGAGGGTTTCAGGGGCTGCTGCAAAAAACGCTGAACAGATCCTGAACGTGAGTTTATCAGCCGCAGTGTACATGAGCCCTAAAGTTAATTTTAAAACGTATTGAGGAACACAGGACTACCAACACTGACCTTCCTTTTATAAATGCTAGTTCTCTGTCTGGTAATGATTTTGCTGAAGCAGTGATGTTTTTTTTAAAGTCCTGGCAGCACATGGCTTATGGCATCCAGTGCGGAACAATGCAGATACATTTTAAGCGGCTATTTCTCAAAACTTACTTCAGTTGCTGAGGTGGAAGTGACGTCAGAGTCCTTGGAGCCTCCATCTTTATTCCCTAGGCTGGTTCTCTTGCTCAGCAGTTTAGACACGTTGTGAGATGGATGGCACATGGCGGATGAACAATGGTCATGGTTGTCCGGCCTTTTGCTACTGTCCTCCACCTCTTTCTTTTCAGCACCTGTACTAGAAGCCTGAGCCGAACGGCCGCATACATTTCTGAAGAATTCCTGAACAATGCCGTACTTAGTGGCCTCTCCTTTATTTCTGCCCTCGGCTAAATTCGGTTTATACAGGGACTCTGTGCTTCCAGCATGATCCACTACGTTGAATAGGCTAGATGAACCGTCATAGATGTTGCTTAGGACGGGGCTGTCTCGAGTGGTCGTAGATCTGGCCCAGGCGGAGCCGTTTTGTTTGTTTTGATGAAGGTTCCACAGGCTTCGATCTTTAGAATTGTCCAGTTTTGACAATGACCTCCTTTGTAGTTTGGGTGAGCCATACTTGGGAGAGCAGCAAGGCCGCTCAATCCGAGAGTGGACCTTGTCCAATGAGGTCGATATATGCTTGGTCTTTGCAGACAGCATGGAAGAACTTCTTGGTGACCAACTTTTGGCATGCAGGCTTGTTCGGTGTAGATCAGTTTGAAGACCTATGCTAATCATTTGGACAGTTTGGACTCCTATGCTGGAAAGAGTCTGGCTGGATGTGCTTTTGGTCTTTCTTTCTAGAGAACTAGAGCGAATGGCTTGCCTAACGCAGTTGGTGATCTCTTTCATATCGTCGCTCATGTTCCCCGAGATCTCTAAATCACCCAATGGAGATGGGAAGGCGGAAACAGATGAAGAAGGCTCCTTAGTGCTGTCTTTGTCCAAGAGATCCCTCTGCTTCTTGGAGAAGTTGCACAACCACTGGTTGTAAGAACTTCCAGAAATGCACTCTGAATTTTCTGTTTCTTTAGGCTTTGCCATGGTGAAAAGGAATCCTGGTTCTACCACAATCTTTTCTTCTTTATTGTGGACAAAAGGAGCATCCAATTTGCGCACTATGGGTGGACTATAATAAATCCTAATTCCTGTTCTGTCTGGGGCAGTGTAGCTTCTCTGTATTTGCTTGTGACCTGGCTCTCCATTGTTCCCAGTCTTATCCACTTTGTAATCCCAAGACGACAGTCCCAGCTTGTCCTTCGTTAAGTGCTCAGGTGAGGACTTGTCGTGCATATAAGTGCAGCCTTTCTGGTCAATGTCTGGTTCCATGGAACCATTGGCCAGGTGCTGGGAGTCCAGGACTCCATTCATCTTCTCATAATTTGAGGGCGATTTTCCAGGCAGGTAAGGAGAACTGTCCAGCAAACTCTCGAACTCGGACATGGATGAAACTGACTTTGTTCTGAGTGAGAAAATAAAAAAGTGATGTAAATATATATAAAAAAAATCTAAAACAATTACAGATACATTTCATACAGCATTGCAAAGAGAAAGACATGGAGGAAGACTGACTAAAACTGGAGCGTATAGAACCTGGTGTAGCTGTGCCTTGTAACCAGTCAGCTTCTAACTCCAGCTTGTTCAATTAAACATTTGCAATAAAACCTGGAAGCGGATTGAAGGTCAGGGATTTATAGAAGCGGTAGTAAAGTCTGCTTTATTTACTTGTACCTACAGGAAAACTTATAAACCATGTCATCTCAACGTACGTTTAGTAAATATTGACATTTGCAGCATTTGATGCATTCACATTGCAGTCTGAATTGAGGGCACACTCCATGCACCGCGCCGCGATCATGATGTCATTGCGGTCTGGCCAAACGGCCAGGGTATGCAAACCCAGAAGGAAGACTGGGTGAAGATGAAAGCCCTGGCACACGTGTTCCTTGCTGCTGGAAGGATCCATTTCACAGGTTTGTCATAATGTGCTATGCGATGCAAGTCCGGGGGTGAGCGGACATCGCGACTGCGGGGTCCGGGGGGGGGGGAGCGAGCGGACATCGCGACTGCGGGGGGTCCGGGGGGGGGGGGGGGGGGGGGGAGCGGACATCGCGACTGCGGGGTCCGGGGGGGGGGGGGGGGAGCGAGCGGACATCGCGACTGCGGGGTCCGGGGGGGGGGGGGGGGGGGGGGAGAGAGAGCGGACATCGCGACTGCGGGGTCCGGGGGGGGGGAGGGAGCGGACATCGCGACTGCGGGGTCCGGGGGGGGAGAGCGAGCGGACATCGCGACTGCGGGGTCCGGGGGGGGAGAGCGAGCGGGGACATCGCGACTGCGGGGTCCGGGGGGGGGGGAGAGAGCGAGCGGGGGGGGGAGAGCGACATCGCGACTGCGGGGTCCGGGGGGGGAGAGAGAGAGCGGACATCGCGACTGCGGGGTCCGGGGGGGGGAGAGAGAGCGAGCGACATCGCGACTGCGGGGTCCGGGGGGGGAGAGCGAGCGGACATCGCGACTGCGGGGTCCGGGGGGGGAGAGCGAGCGGACATCGCGACTGCGGGGTCATCGCGAGCGGACATCGCGACTGCGGGGTCCGGGGGGGGAGAGCGAGCGGACATCGCGACTGCGGGGTCCGGGGGGGGGAGAGCGAGCGGACATCGCGACTGCGGGGTCCGGGGGGGGAGCGAGCGGCGAGCGGGAGACATCGCGACTGCGGGGGGGTCCGGGGGGGGGAGAGCGAGCGGACATCGCGACTGCGGGGTCCGGGGGGGGACATCGCGAGCGCGGGTCCGGGCGGAGCGAGCATCGCGACTGCGGGGTCCGGGGGGGAGAGCGAGCGGACATCGCGACTGCGGGGTCCGGGGGGGGGAGAGCGAGCGACATCGCGACTGCGGGGTCCGGGGGGGAGAGCGAGCGGACATCGCGACTGCGGGGTCCGGGGGGGAGAGCGAGCGGACATCGCGACTGCGGGGTCCGGGGGGGGAGAGCGAGCGGACATCGCGACTGCGGGGTCCGGGGGGGGAGAGCGAGCGGACATCGCGACTGCGGGGTCCGGGGGGGGAGAGGCGAGCGGACATCGCGACTGCGGGGTCCGGGGGGGAGAGCGAGCGGACATCGCGACTGCGGGGTCCGGGGGGGAGAGCGAGCGGACATCGCGAGACTGCGGGGTCCGGGGGGGGGAGAGCGAGCGGACATCGCGACTGCGGGGTCCGGGGGGGGAGAGCGAGCGGACATCGCGACTGCGGGGTCCGGGGGGGGAGAGCGAGCGGACATCGCGACTGCGGGGTCCGGGGGGGAGAGCGAGCGGACATCGCGACTGCGGGGTCCGGGGGGGAGAGCGAGCGGACATCGCGACTGCGGGGTCCGGGGGGGGGGAGAGCGAGCGGACATCGCGACTGCGGGGTCCGGGGGGGAGAGCGAGCGGACATCGCGACTGCGGGGTCCGGGGGGGGAGAGCGAGCGGACATCGCGACTGCGGGGTCCGGGGGGGAGAGCGGAGGCGGACATCGCGACTGCGGGGTCCGGGGGGGCGAGCGAGAGCGGACATCGCGACTGAGGGGGTCCGGGGGGGGAGAGAGCGGACATCGCGACTGCGGGGGTCCGGGGGGGGGGAGAGCGGACATCGCGACTGCGGGGTCCGGGGGGGGAGAGCGGACATCGCGACTGCGGGGTCCGGGGGGAGAGAAGCGGACATCGCGACTGCGGGGTCCGGGGGGGAGAGCGCGGACATCGCGATGCGGGGGGTCCGGGGGGGAGAGAGCGGACATCGCGACTGCGGGGTCCGGGGGGGGAGAGACATCGCGAGCTGGGAGGGGGGGGAGATTGGAGACGCGACACATCGCGACTGCGGGGTCCGGGGGGGGAGGCGAGCGGACATCGCGACTGCGGGGTCCGGGGGGGGGAGAGCGGACATCGCGACTGCGGGGTCCGGGGGGAGAGCGGACATCGCGACTGCGGGGTCCGGGGGGGAGAGCGGACATCGCGACTGCGGGGTCCGGGGGGGAGAGCGGACATCGCGACTGCGGGGTCCGGGGGGGAGAGCGGACATCGCGACTGCGGGTCCGGGGGGGGAGAGCGGACATCGCGACTGCGCGGGGGGGGGGGGGGAGAGCGGACTCGCGACTGCGGGGTCCGCGGGGGGAGAGCGGACATCGCGACATGCGTGGGGGGGGGGGGAGAGCGGATTTCGCGAAAATGCGGGGTCCGGGGGGGGGAGCGGATTTAGTGAAAATGCGGGGTCCGGGGGGAGAGCGGATTTAGTGACATGCGGGGTCCGGGGGGGAGAGCGGATTTAGCGGATTTAGGGGGAGGGGGGGGAGAGCGGGGCCGGCGGGGGGGACGGATTTAGTGAATCCGACTGCGGGGGTCCGGGGGGAGAGCGGAGCGGGGTCCGGGGGAGAGCGGATTTAGTGAATGCGGGGTCCGGGGGGGGAGAGCGGATTTAGTGAATGCGGGGTCCGGGGAGGAGAGCGGATTTAGTGAATGCGGGGGGTCCGGGGGGGAGAGCGGATTTAGTGAATGCGGGGTCCGGGGGGGAGAGCGGATTTAGTGAATGCGGGGTCCGGGGAGAGCGGATTAGTGAATGCGGGGTCCGGGGGGGGGGAGAGCGGATTTAGTGAATGCGGGGTCCGGGGGGGGAGAGCGGATTTAGTGAATGCGGGGTCCGGGGGGGGGGAGAGCGGATTTAGTGAATGCGGGGTCCGGGGGGGAGAGCGGATTTAGTGAATGCGGGGTCCGGGGGGGAGAGCGGATTTAGTGAATGCGGGGTCCGGGGGGGGAGAGCGGATTTAGTGAATGCGGGGTCCGGGGGGAGAGCGGATTTAGTGAATGCAATAAAACCTTGAAGCCAACTGTGCACTCTCCAGTTTTAGTAAATAACCCCCACAGTGTATATCACCCCCCAACCCTGTACAACATCAGCCCCAGGACCATGGGGGACCCATACTTGCAAGCAAAACATGGTCTCTTAGATTATAATATTAAAGTGGCAGTAAAGCCTATTTTTTATGTTTTACCTACAGGTCAGCCTTTAATAAGGCTGACCTGTAGGTACTGTAATTATCTCCTAAGTGTGCACCGTTTAGGAGATATTTATTTTATCATTGGTTAACTGCACCATGCAGCGGCAGAGACTCCCATGTGCATGCATGGAAGCGACGTCATCACGTCTCTGCCAGTCAAACAGCCGAAGCCAGCGAACCCAAAAGAAAGACCAGGTGAAGGTGGAAGGCCCCGGGAGCCATGACAGCACTTCCTTTTCAGGTAAGTCTTTTATAATGTGCTAGTATGTGTTGCATACTAGCACATTATGCTCTTAATTTGCAGGGAGCTTTTTTTTTGTTTACCATTTTATGGTTTACTACGGTTTTCAAGTATAACAACATGAGGATGTGACACATTTACTTTGAATATAAGCAAGAAATGAAACCTCACCTTTTTAAAACAGTCCCATTAGCATCCATGTCACAGTCAATATCTTTATCCTGCATCTTGTCATTGAGCGCCTAAGAGAAATCCATGTATAAATATTCATAATACAGAGCATAGCATAGATCAAAGAAACATGTATACATAGTAAGACGGATAGATATGGCTTTATGTTGCCTTTTAGTGTGGGCTGTGCGGGAATACAGAACACAGCATTACAAAACCTTTCCTGGCTCACCCCCCATAGAGGAGGGATACAGGTTTATTATGCCGACAAGGGATGGTGGCAGCTGAATGTTGTCTAGAGTTACTGGAAGGAACATGTGTGTCAGCTCCACCCTACCGCATTCTTCTGCTAGGCCATGACAGCTCACCACAAGGGATGTATTTTTCAACAAGATCTATAAGGTTTCAAGGTCAGTCCCTTCTCATCAGAAGCAAGTCGCAAAGAATTATTATTTATCGCCATCAATTTACGCAGCGCTTTACATATATATTGTACATTCACATCAGTCCCTAACCCTCAAGGGGCGTACAATCTAAGGTCCCTAACCCTCAAGGGGCTAAGTACAATCAAGGTCCTAAGGTCCCTAACTCACATTCATACATACACATACTAGGGACAATTTAGACAGGATCCAATTAACCTACCAGCATTGGGAGGAAACCGGAGGACCCGGAGGAAACCCATGCAGTCACAGGGAGAACATGCAACGTTGTTGGGATTCGAACCAGCTACCCTAGTACTGCCAGGTGGAAGTGCTAACCATTTAGCCACTGTGCTGCCCTTGCACAGTAATGTGAGTGTTGTCTATCAGTTTCATGAATTCATAATGAAACACCAGACGCAGGTTTCTGTGGTACTAAGTGGTTTTAGACTGGCATCGAATAGATCTACATATTCCCGGTCTGGCCATGGCAAGGCTTCGACTTAAAATTTTTTGGGTTCCCCAAGCAAAAGGGCAGTTGACCGAGGCAGCAAAGGGCCAGGAATCGTGGCTTTCAGCTGACTTATTGATCACATGACTAGACCAGCCAGGTACCTGGATAGTGGATCCAGAAAGAGAAGCAGACTGTACACCTGGCAGTACTAGGGTATTTGGTTTGAATCCCAACCACGGCACCACCTGCCTGGAGTTTGCATGTTCTCCCTGTGCCTCTGTGGGTTCCTTGCGGGTACTCCCACATTCCAAAGACATGCTGGTAAGTAAATTGGCTCCTGTCTAAATTGGCACTAGTATGTGTATGTATGAATGTGAGTTAGGGACCAGGGCAGACTGACCATTTGGAAACACGGGCACTGCCCGAGGGCCCGGGGTCAGTAAGGGGTCCCCTGGTACCTTTCATAGGCTTTTGTAGGTGTGGGTGAGGACTCAGGGGCCCCATGAACCCTTATTGCCTGGGGGCCCCATGAGTTGTCACTCCACCCCTGTTAGGGACCTTAGATTGTATGTCCTTGAGGGTTAAGGACTGATGAGAATGTAATATATATAAAATTATTATACAGGATTTATATAGCGCCAACAGTTTGCTCAGCGCTTTACATTATAACGGACAGGAGACAATACAGTTCAATACAAGAGGGATAGGAGGGCCCTGATCCTTGGAGCTTACAATCTAAGAGGGAGGGTCTAGCGGTACAAAAGGTAATAACTGTGGGGGATGGACTGGTAGGAGGAGTAGAAGATTCCATTATTAGCTGATGGCAAGATGGGCTTCCCTGAAGAGAGAGGTTTTCAGAGATCGCCTAAAAGTGAGCAGAGTAGGCGATAGTCTGATAGATTGGGGTAAAGAGTTCCGGAGGATGGAGGAAGCTCTGGAGAAGTCCTGGAAACTAGCATGGGAGGAGGAGACAAGGAAGCTAGTGAGCGGAGAGTACGGTTTGGGTGATATTTGGAGACAAGATTGGAGATGTAATTTGGGATTTCTACATGGCTTTATATGTTAGCACTATATATATATGTGTAAATTGACAGCACTATATAAGTACCTGTATTAAATAAATAATATAATGTTAAAAAGGATAGGTTCCCCATGGTGACACTGTACTACTTGTGGGGGGTGATGATTTTTTTTTTTTTTTTTTTTTTTTACACCGATTGCTTTTACACCCATAAAAGGCTGTAAAAGCAATCATTTCTCCTTCTATATGGCTGCATTCTTACAGCCATTGAGAAATACTGTGTGAGCTGTGATTGGTCACAGCTTGTCACATGGTACAAGGCTGTTGTGAATAGCCCCATACCATGTGATCTCTGTGATCATTCACAGATTTCACACGTAGTAAGCAATGATGTCAGAAGTGACATCTTGCTTACCACTCTTCATGTGATCACAGATTGACCAATCAGTTATCACATGATTGGGACCTCACACAGAGGTCCCGTAGAACGATCGGTGTTGCACTGTGTCCGGAGGACACAGCGGGCACCAGGTCGCAGTGCTGCACGCTCCCAAGGAGTGCGCACAAGCAGGGGGCAGGGAGGCAGTTTATAAATGGCCACCCGCCCCTGCACTGCCACCGTCCGGCTGTTTATATACATGGGCCAGACGGGAGGTGGTTAAGAAGGGGGGAATATTGGTTTAAAAAAATAAAAAAATCTAAATTCAGGGTTCCTAAAATTAGAAAGGCTAGAAACACACGCATTGGCCCTCTTGTGTGTCTGGCTCCGCAGCACCGGGATTCGAATGTTAATCCAAATATCTTTTTCCAGTTTAGGCTTGAAACAGATCGGCCCGCTTTGATGCATACATACAGTTTAAAGGGTCGATCCACCTAAATCTGATGTTTCAAGGTTTGGTGAATGCTGCCATTTTAACCAACCTGACAAATTTGTGTTCATCGGGAACTCCGTTGTTGAGATCTCTGCACACCTGCCGTGCCCATTATAAGCAGTTCCAACTCTTCCTGCTGTTTTTTTTTTTTTAAATAATTGATTTTATATTATGAAGAATAATGGGAGGAGCTGGAACATCTGCTCCTATGTGGTATTGATAAATGTGCCATCAACAGGCCCAAATCCTTCTCTCCCTGGTCACACTAGTGCGAGACATAACAATGCCCTTTAGAAATTGCAGCCTGTATGACCAGGGAGGGGTCCCCTCTGACATTGACTGGGAGTCTGTCATGGGTAAACACGCGGAGATTTTCAGTCTGAGTTCAGAAAGTCCGTACCTCCTTCCAGCAGCTGCTCTCCCTCTCCGGACCTCTTCTAACCCACGACTCTCCTTTCTGCAAAGAATCCAAAATAACATTTGTGAAAATTTAAGGAAAGCTGGCTTCTTAACCTCTTCATGTCCGGACGCTTTCCCCCCCCCTTCCAGTCCGGACGCTTCCCCCCCCCACCTTCCAGTCCCCTACGCTTCCCCCCCCCCCCACCTTCCAGTCCGGACGCTTTCCCCCCCCACCTTCCAGTCCGGACGCTTTCCCCCCCCACCTTCCAGTCCGGACGCTTTCCCCCCCCACCTTCCAGTCCGGACGCTTTCCCCCCCCCCACCTTCCAGTCCGGACGCTTTCCCCCCCCCCACCTTCCAGTCCGGACGCTTTCCCCCCCCCACCTTCCAGTCCGGACGCTTTCCCCCCCCCCACCTTCCAGTCCGGACGCTTTCCCCCCCCCCATCGCCTTCCAGTCCGGACGCTTTCCCCCCCCCACCTTCCAGTCCGGACGCTTTCCCCCCCCACCTTCCAGTCCGGACGCTTTCCCCCCCCCCACCTTCCAGTCCGGACGCTTTCCCCCCCCACCTTCCAGTCCGGACGCTTTCCCCCCCCCCCTTCCAGTCCGGACGCTTTCCCCCCCCCCCGACCTTCCAGTCCGGACGCTTTCCCCCCCCCACCTTCCAGTCCGGACGCTTTCCCCCCCCACCTTCCAGTCCGGACGCTTTCCCCCCCCCACCTTCCAGTCCGGACGCTTTCCTCCCCCCCACCTTCCAGTCCGGACGCTTTTCCCCCCCCACCTTCCAGTCCGGACGCTTTCCCCCCCCACCTTCCAGTCCGGACGCTTTCCCCCCCCACCTTCCAGTCCGGACGCTTTCCCCCCCCACCTTCCAGTCCGGACGCTTTCCCCCCCCACCTTCCAGTCCGGACGCTTTCCCCCCCCACCTTCCAGTCCGGACGCTTTCCCCCCCCACCTTCCAGTCCGGACGCTTTCCCCCCCCACCTTCCAGTCCGGACGCTTTCCCCCCCACCTTCCAGTCCGGACCTTCCCCCCCAGTTCCAGTCGGACGCTTTCACTTTGCCCCCCCACCTTCCAGTCCGGACGCTTTCACCCCCTTCCAGTCCGGACGCTTTCACCCCCTTCCAGTCCGGGCCAATTTTCAGCTGTCAGCGCTATCACACTTTGAATGACAATTGCGCGGTCATGCAACACTGTACCCATATGCATTTTTAGCATCTTTTTGAGACAGATAAAACTTTACTTTGGTTGTATTTACTCACCGCTGGGATTTTTATTTTTTTTTCCTATATAAATGAAAATGTCCAAAAATTTTGAAAAAAAAAAAAAAAAAAAAGTTTCTTATAAAATTTTGCAAATAAAATAATCTTTCTTCATAAATGTTGGCCAAAATGTATTCAGTTATCTTTTTAGTTAAAAAAAAAAAAAAAAAAAATTATAATCTAAATTAGTTTATAACCAAAAATTATAATTTTTCAAAATTTTATATATATATATATATATATATATATATATATATATATATATATATATATATATATATATATATATATATATATTTTTATTTTTTTTTAACATACTGTCACCCTAGCAGTACAAAGTCACCACAGGGGGGGGGTGGCGGGGGTGTTATTTTATTTTCAGGTACTTATATAGCGCCATCAATTTACTCCGCGCTTTACATATATATTGTACATTCACATCAGTCCCTAACCCTCAGGGGGCGTACAATCTAAGGTCCTAAACCCTCAAGGGGCGTACAATCTAAGGCTACGTTCACACTAGCGTTGTGTGCAGGCGGCAGAGAGGCGTTTGGGGAGCGTTTTTACCGCTTCCCAAACGCCTCTGACAATTCTGTACATTGCGCTGTTCTAGCAGGAGCGTTAGCGTCTCGGCAAAACGGACGCCTCTGGTCGAGTGGTGCCGCCTGGCCAGTGTTTGTGGTGCGGTTGTGGGGCGTTTGCACAGCGGTAACACCATTCAACCTTCATTATACACGTTTGTGGGGCGTTTTTAACGTTCGGCAAACGCCTAGCAACCTCAGCTAAACCGCGCATGCGGCGTTTGCGGAGCATTTGCCAAGCGTTAAAAAAACGCTCCGCAAACGCCGGACCAACGCTTGCCAAACGCTAATGGGGCGTTTGGCAAGCGTTGGTAAAACAGTCAAGTGTGAACGAACCCTAAGGTCCCTAACTCACATTCATACATACACATACTAGGGTCAATTTAGACAGGAGCCAATTAACCTACCAGCATGTCTTTGGAGTGTGGGAGGAAACCGGAGTACCCGGAGGAAACCCATGCAGGTACAGGGAGAACTTGCCAACTCCAGGCAGGTGGTGGCGTGGTTGGGATTTGAACCCAGGACCCTAGTACTGCCAGGTGGAAGTGCTAACCATTTAGCCACTGTGCTGCCCAAATAAAACAGACTAAACTTTTTTTTTTTTTTTTTTTTTTTTTTTAAATCGACAGGGTAAAAAGAAAAAAAAAAATGAAATGTTTTAAAAAAAAAAAAAGTTTTAAGTGCCCCTGTCCCCCCATGCTTGCGTGTAGTGGTGAATGCATAAGTAGGCCCCCCATATGTAAACGGTGTTCAAACCACACGTGAGGTACACAGCTAACGTTACCAAAACGTCCCGCAGGCCATAAACGCCCCACGGACACGAGGGCCACGCCCCGCGGGCACGAGGGCCATAAACGCCCCGCGGGCACGAGGGCCATAAACGCCCCACGGGCACGAGGGCCATAAACGCCCCGCGGGCACGAGGGCCATAAACATTTTGTGTATTGTAACCTGTGACTGAGCAGACTCCAATACTCTATATTTGGGGCACTAGAACAGTTGCTATGAAGGTATGGGACATGATAGAACCGTTTCCCATCCCCCCCCCCCCCCCCCCCCCCCATCTCGAAGATTCTCTTTCTAATTATAGAGCGTTCTGTTAATGAGGTTTCAGTGAGTTTGCTGCTTCCATCACCCGGGCAGATAACGTGTCAGAGAACGGCATTATTAACTCCACAATCCCGGTTGTATATTATTCCCCTTGGCAGCCGTGAAGAATTTCACATGGAGTAGCGCTGGGATTCGGATCCATTTGTGCCGCTGGCGATGGAGGGATTTAAATAAATTTGGCAAATGCCGGATACTCCGATCTAATCCAGACACAATTAGGTTATTGCTGGGTAGAAAATACCGGTACATGGAAGCATGAGCGCCGTAGGAGGGGTTACTAAGCGCAGATTAGCCTCATTGTGGGGAAAGGGGGGGCGGCTGTCAAAGTATGGCGGCTGTATCCCATTGGCTGGTGGCTTCATGAATAAGGGAAAAAAAAAAAACCATTGGAAGACCTATTTCTATTAATTGGGGGTGGGGGGGGGGGGGGGGGGGGAATAGAGACACTCGAAAGAAGAAGTAACCAACATCCTACTAATACGTTGTCAGAATCCTAATATACTGCATTTACTATTTATATACCTTTTGAACATTGCTACATAAGGGGTATTTATTAACCTCCCTAGCGGTCTGATTATGTCAGTATTTCTGTGCTCAAAGCGGTAAATATTTTTGCATGGAAATATGTGTTTTTTTATTGTAGTCCTGTAATTTTTAGGAATAACTCACTGAAATCGGTCCGAACAAGAGTGTAGTAAACATCCCGGGGATGATAAAATTTGAAACCCGAAATCATCAATTATAATATAATAAATAATCATAAAAAATAATATAATAATAAATTTAATTCAATAATGTAATCAAACCAAAAACACTGAAATTCAAAATATAGCGCCAAGTTCGCACATCGCTGAGCAAAGTCGCAGAATCGTTTTCATGTCTGATGAGGAATTTCCCCCACCAATCATTATCACTCAATTCTGCAAGTGGTTCTGATTTACTATCGCTGTTCTCTAGCCGGTCTAAAACCGCTTTTGACCTAAAGGGACGCTTTTTGGACGCCATGGACGTTTCTCAGTTTCCAGGCAGAAAGAACAGTAAAAATACAGGCAGGGCGCCGGACAAAGCACTCGGGACAAAATGTATGTGAAATGGTTTGATACAGGAATGTTATACTATGTGATTTTAGTGTATTTAGTGAATTTAACTTTTCACATTTTTGAATTTCCCACCAGTTCCGTCCCCCATACTTCATGACCTCGCAGGGAACAGAACCAGGAAGACAGATGCCGGCATCGGCCAGAGGACATTGCCGGGGACACTGCAGGGGGGGACATCGCGGGAGCGCAGGACAAGGTAAGTGAAACAGAGATCCCGGAGCAGCGCTGCAGTGTATTCCCGAGTGTAGCACGGGGTTACCGCTTGGGGTGCTGAAACTTTACCCCGAGCTACACTCAGGAATACCGCCAGGGGGGTTAATGGAAGTCCAGGAACCTGAATAGCAACCCCGCCGCCCTATAGTAGAACTACTGCTACAGGGTGACAGGGCTGCTCAACATTTGCATTTCCGGGTAGGGGTGGCACGCGTGCGCTGCCATTGGCGGCTACGGATGTCAATCACCGGGTCTCATCCGGAGATTCCCCGCACTCGGCGATAGTCAGGAAAAGCTGACGGGAGAGACCTGTGTGTAAATCTCCTGCCAACAAGGACATGCTGCTGTGTATTTCTTTGCACAGCCCTACCCGGAAAGGCAAAATCACGTATATACACGGGATATATATCTGCTATACGGCGGCGGATAAGCGGTTAACCTATGCACTGATTAGGTCTGTGGTACACAGAAGACCCTTGAAGCAGGACTACAGCTTAGGCATGCATTTGCAAATGTAAGCAAACAAAACTCTTTCTTTAATGCAAAGGGTTAGACAGGGATAACAAGGTTTTTTTTGCACGCTGGTTGCTAGGTGCGCTGGGAAATCCTTTTGTGATGTGCATTGCCCTTCCATATGCACCTTGCTGTCAAAGCGGAGTTCCTCTTACCCTGTCAAAAAATAAAAGTCAGCAGCTACAAAAACTGTAGCTGCTGACTTTTAAAAAACAGCCACTTACCTGTCCCTCGGTCACGTGGTGTGTCCCTGCAGCCTGGCCAGTATTCCAGGAGGCCGGCATCTTCAGTGTGGGCACCAGGCTGTGACAGCTTGCGGCTTCAGGTACCCACTGCACATGTGCGAGTAGCGTTCCGCTTCATGAATGGTCCTGTAGTCTTCTGGGACCTGTCACGTGTCCCAAAAGACTACAGAGGGGAGGGGACACTTTCCGTTTCCGATCAAGGTGATCGGACCGGAAGTTGGAGCGGGTTCCTGTCAAATACGGGTACCTGCCCCCCCAAAGATGCCAATCCTTAATGGGGAGCGAGGGAGCAGTCCTTAAAGCGGAACTTCCCCTTTTGGGTGGAGCTCCGCTTTAAGGCTGGTTATAGGTTGGGATGATTGCCATTTTTTTGTACAGTTGATAGAAAATGATCTCTAAAAAGATGGAATTGTTTTCTATACCGTAAGCTACACAAGCAGCAGCAGTTTGTAGCACACGTGATTGGAGCATTGTACAATCAATCATACGAGACAGATCACTCCTTCCTGCTACTTGTATAACCCCCACAAGAAGCGTCTGGAAGCCCAATGAAGCCTCCATATTTTCTCACCTGCTTTAGCTTTCCCTGCAGCTCTTTTACTTGCTCCTCCGTTTTCATGCGCTCCTCCTGGAAGCGGGCCAGCAGCTCCTCCTTCTCCTGTGTCCAGTTCTTCTCGCTGACCTGCAGCTGCTTGGTGAGGTCCATGACCGCGCTGTAGGACTCTGCCAGAAGATGTTGGTGCTCTTCTCGCTCCCGCTTCAAAGCTGCTTTAATATCCGGAGAATTTCTGTCTGCACCGTGTTTACTGGACTCCAGCTAGAACACAGAACAATCGGTTACCATAGTGGAAATCTACCGGTATAGGATCTTCTCAAAACTGAAGAACCGGTCCTAAAAAAATCCATAACCATCCAATACTTGACCTTTAAGCCACACAAGATTCACACTGATGCGGTGCAGAATTTGCAGCGTATTCCGCACTGCATCAGGATTGCACCCCGTTCATGCGAACCGCTGCGGGTGTGTATGTTAAGCCGACACCCCGAAAGCGGTCCGTAAACACAGTGCGATCTGCAGAATCGGATTGCATAGGTGTGAATACCCATACGATCTGATTCTAGTGCGGACCCGAAAAAGGGTCCTGCACCTTTTTGGTCCAGGTGCTGTGCGCATAGAGCCATACAAAATGTATGGGTCCAATCGCACCGCACACAAATCGCATGTGATTTGCACAGGAATGCGGTGCGGCACGTACGGCCCTGGCGGTGAGAGGTTTAAAGTGGCCCAATAGTACATGACCTCATTATAACCAAAAGGCCCTGGAATTTAACACGAATGCTGGCCATACATGGGTTGAAATTTGACTGATTTTATGTCCGAAAATTGGACCTAAGACTAAATCGGCCAATTTTTGCTCTGTTAGTGGGGTCAAAAGGCACCGACTGCTTTTTGTGGTTCCTCCCCTTTTCAGTGATCGGGCATGTTGGAAAAATTTGTGAAAAATGACCAATTTTCGACTCGATGGTCAAATTGTACAATCGTTTTTCCGAAAAGAATAGGCACATGAGCCGTGACCTGGAAGGGACAGAAGTTTTGCCTGTTATATGGGGTGAACTTTATAACTTGGTCGGCCGATTTTCTAAATCATTGATGGCGCCATCGGATTACCGAGCAAAAGACATTTTCGATTTTCAGACGAAAAATCATTTGGAATTCGACTCATGTATGGCCTGCATAAGCCACATTGATTAAAGTGCATCTATGGGTAAAATGTAAATCATATATTTCCACATTGTATCTCATTTATTTCTAGCCTACTCCTATTACTCCAATGATCCTGAAGTTTGTAAACTTACTTTGTGAAGATCCCCGCCTATTCACCAAAGTGGTTGTAAACCCTCACATATCCCCAGTGAAGAGACTGGCCTCAGGTGATACACAGATGAAACAAATCCTCCTACATAAGTTGTACCTGTTTTATCTACAGTCATCTGTCCTGTACAGACATTCAAAGTACAGAATTTACACAGGATCTCTCAGCTATGAAAAGCAGGGGGCGGAGAGCTGAGGTTACATTAGTGAGGAGAGATCTGATTGGAGGAAAGGGAAACACCCCCTACACAAAGAACACAGGAACAGAGCTGAGGCTGTCAATCACAGGCTGTGCCCTCCCGTCACCATTTTTCTCTTGGTGTCCGGAAAACTCATCAGAAGTGACTCCTGCTTATAGCAGAGGAATGTGGCAGCAGACAGAAATGGCCCTTAGTGCTCTGGATTGAGACAAGCACACACTATAGATCAGGGGTCTCCAAGCTTTCTAAACAAAGGGCCAGTTTACTGTCCTTCAAACTTTAGGAGGGTTGGACTGTGACCAGTGGGAGTAGAAAAAGGTCCCGACATCAGTGGGAAAAAATAATGCCCCATCGTTTGGTGTCAGTTGGAGGAATTGTGCCCCATCATTGATGTCACTGGACCCCCGTAATTGGAAGGAGTCGTGCCCCCTTTATTGGTGTAAGTAGGGGGGATTATGCTCGATTGTTGGTATCAGTGGATGAAATAGTACCCCAAAGGCTAGATAAAAGCTAACAAAGGGCTGTAGAGAATGGTCCTCTGGGGGACTCATCCCATCTTTGTTCTGGAGAGCATTATTACAGGACATAAAAGGGATGGCCCAACATTTTATGTTGCTCATTGGATGAGGAATAAAGGGGAATCCTTCCAAAGAGAACACTGGTTCTGCTGATTCCCACTCCGCAAAGGTTTCCATTGGTGTCTCTGGAACAGGAAGTGAAGCCAAATCTACAATGGGGTGGGGGCCAATATCACAGGGGTTTTAACCACTCCCTATTCAATCTAAACATTAAAAGCTTTAAGGTGTCAGTAACCTCCCTGGCAGTCTGATTATATCCATATTTCTGTGCTCAAAGCGGGGTACTTTTTTTTGCATGGAAATATGTAGTTTTTTTTATTGTAGGCCTGTAATTTTTTAGGAATAACTCACTGAAATCTGTCCGAACAAGAGTCTAGTAAACATCCCGGGGATGATAAAAATTTGAAACATGAAATCATAAATTATAATTTAATAAATAATCATAAAAAATAATAATATAATAATAATACATTTAATTCAATAATATAATCAAACCAAAAACACTGAAATGTGAAATATAGCGCCAAGTTCTCGCTGAGCAAAGTCACAGAATCGTTTTCAGTGTCTGATGAGGAATTTCCCCCACCAATCATTATCACTCAATTCTGCAAGTGGTTCTGATTTACTATCGCTGTTCTCTAGCCGGTCTAAAACCACTTTTGACCTAAAGGGACGCTTTTTGGACGCCATGGACGTTTCTCAGTTTCCAGGCAGAAGAACAGTAAAAATGCAGGCAGGGTGCAGGACAAAGCACTCGGGACAAAATGTATGTGAAATGGTTTGATACAGGAATGTTATACGATGTGATTTTAGTGTATTTAGTGAATGTCACTTTTTCACATTTTTGAATTTCCCGCCAGTTCCGTCCCCCATATGTCCCGACGTCGCAGGGAACGGAACCCAGAAGATAGATGCCGGCATCAGCCGGAGGAGATGGGCGGGGATGCTGCAGGAGGGACATTGCGGGAGCGCAGGACAAGGTAAGTGCTGGAGGGATCCCGGAGCAATGCTGCAGTGTATTCCCGAGTGTAGCTCGGGGGGGTTACCGCTTGTGGTGCTGAAACTTTACCCCGAGCTACACTCAGGAATACCACCAGGGGGGTTAAGCTGGCCATAGATGGGTCAAAAGTCAGCTGGTTCAACAGGAACCATACAATTTTCGACCCATCTTTAGGCAGGCTGGTTGTACTGAAAATGATCAATTGATCGACTTCAGTACAACAAGCCCGTCAGGGTTATTTTTTGCTCGATCACTTAATCATATTTTGCCAGGGTAGGGGAGGCTCCCCGCCAGCAGAACACAATTGCACTACAGGAAGGATTCCCTCCACCAACACAGACTGTGTTGATGGGGAGGAAAAGAGAAAATTGTATAAATGTATGGCCTGCTGTACATTGGATTAACACGCATTGTTATTTGTACAGGTATTACAATGCTGATGTTAGAAAACGAAAGTGCATGCTGTGACCATCAAACTTTTCCTGTGCAAATCATAAACCTCAACCAAGCTCTAAATCAAGGGTGTCAAACTCCATTTCATCGCGGGCCGTATCAGCATTATGGTTGCCCTCAAATGGCCAGTTGTATCTGTAAGACTAGATATCCAGAGCACCCCCCCCCATTACATCAGATGTCAAGAATCCCACACCCTCCCTATCACCACCACACACCCCCTTTGGGAGCAGAAAGTGCAGGGTCTGGAGGAGGACCAGAGGAGGAGTAGAGTCAGTTACCAGAGTCTGCTGAATGCCGAGACCAGGGGAGGCAGAGATGAGGGGGTGCTGCAGTTGCACTGAGAGGTGCAGGATTTGGCAAAGGAGTTCTATTCACCTCTCTGCTGAGACAAGGTGGGGGCGGAGACAAGGGGGTACCTGCAGGAGAGGTGCAAGGGCCACATGAAATGGCCTGGAGGGCTGGATTTGGCCCTTGTGTTTGACACCTGTGCTCCAAATGATTGCATTTGTTCTGAAAATCCAAAACAAAAGAATAGGAGGGGTGAAGCAGGATTAAACCAATCCTTTCCGATGTATTCTGCATAATTGGGAGAGCGGCAGATGTGTCCTCTACCCAAAAGGTATCCATCTTCTAGATCTCAGAAAGCTGGGGGGTATAAGAAGCGCATGCTCTGGTACTGCAATTATTTAGCGACACCCTGATACACATCACGGCTTATGTTTGAACACCTGCCTGACCCCAAACCAGCGCCTGTAACCTAGCACTAGGACAGCTGCACACATAGAGAATGTGGTCATGTTGTGTCCATTACCTCTGAATTGCCCCCTCTACCCCCCCCCTGTCTAAGGCTCGTGCCATTACTCCCACTTCTTGCCCGATCTGAAATGTCAGCTGGTGTGCAGGTGATGACAGCAATTCCTGCATGCCCGCCAGCTTATCTGGCTAATGGGAGGAGGAGAGGGCTAAACGTTGGGATATGGGGTGACACTGCACTCCTTGCTCATGGCTCTGGATGGCTGTCATGTGAATGCTATAAAAAGGGACAAAAAACAAGTATTTTTATTAATGTGTTCTTCTAAATGTCTCTTCTGCTGGAGCTTTCCCCATAATAGAGGTTTACATTTTCTGACACTTTTTTTTCAATGTTTATTTTGCTAGAAAATTACTTGGAACTCCCAAACAATTTTTTTTAACCACTTGCCCTCCTGAGGATTCCCCCCCCCCCCTTCCTGACCAGGCTATTTTAGGAGTTACGGCGCTACTTTGCTTTAACTGACAATTGCGCAGTATGCAATGCTGCACCCAAATTAAATTTACGTCTTTTTTCCCACGAATAAAGCTTTCTTTCGGTGGTATTTGGTCGCCTGTGCATTTATTTTCTGCACTATAAAAAAAAAAAAAAGAAAAAAAAAAAAAGACCGACAATTTTAAGAAAAACAATATTTTTGACTTTTTTAATATTATATATGTCCAGTAAAAAAAAAAATTAAGAAAATCAAAATTTCATCATAAATGTAGGCCAAAATGTCTGCTAAAAAAAATCCCAAAACACGTAAATTGGTCCCAGACCCGCAGATGGGCAAGCGGAGCCTGGGAGACCTCACGTGGCAGGGGGGTAGGAGTGGGAGAGGCTGGTACTGTGTGGAAGCAATCGGGCGGCAGCGCTGGCACCCAAATGCTTCAACTGGCACTCCAAATGCTGAAGAAAAA